TGGGGAAGCGGGCAGGCGGGAGGCGGGCCTTGGAGGCAAGCGCTCCCCGCGGGCCCCTCGGAGCGCCTCTTACGAGCAACAGGTCACACACGCCTCGCGGAGGAAGTGTGTAAACAGCATTGTTGCTACATTAAAAGCAAAACAACGCGCCCCCTCCATGGAAGTCCTGCTCCGCTGCAACTTGCGGGCGCCTTGGAGAAAAAAAAAAGGGGGGGGGGGAATGGGTGGAACTTTTTTTTTTAGTATGGTCTCTTTCCCCTGGTTTCAGAGGAGGGGGGAGTGTCGCCCCCCTGCTAAGGACAGCAGCTTAGGATCTGGCGTTCCGAAAACAGGCCAGGGATCTGCCAGCTTCAACCCCTTTGTCAAGGCCTCCTGAGACCCCACGACCAGCCCAAGATCCGGGAGTAGCCTCGAGGTTCTGCCAGGAGCTGATCCCCGGCAGCCTCCCCAGTACAAGTGCCCTGCAGATGCGCGGCACTCTTAGGCCCATCTTTTCACCCTAACCCCAGGGCAAAGTGGGGAGATGTGGTCTAAGGAATCAGGCGGGCCTCGGGCTGGAAAAGGCTGGGTTGCTGTCCTGGAGGCTACCACGCAAAGACGACCTGCCCCTGTCCCTGTCCCTCTCTCAGCCGCGCTGATCTCCCCTTCGGATGGTGCTGCACCCACATCTCCCTGGACGTGAGGCTGGGCGCGCTCGGCGCCCTCTCTTTCCCCGAGAGCAGGGCACGGCGCCCAGCCCCAGGCCTCTTCGCCCTCTCTTCGCTCGCTGTCCAGCGGCGGCGATTTCCCAGGGGCTCAGCGGGACCGGCTCCTTCCCGAACCTGTTCGAAGAGAGTCCCGTCCAGCCGCGACCCCGCATGTCCAGGAGGAGAGTCAACCCCCCCATCCCTGTCCATCTGGAGCTCTTGGCTGGACGGGCACCTGCCTGCCTTGGGAACCACGGGACTTACTTCGAAGTAACGGCTGCCATAAGCGCGGGATAGTTTCTCTCGTCCCTCTCCCGACCGACGCCAAGTCCCCGCCAGGCCCCCTTCTGCTCCTTCCCCCAATTCCACGGCTGGAAGCCACGCCAAGCTGCGCGCTGCCTCCCCTCCCGAACATCTGATCTTCTCCACGAGACGTTGCAACGGGAAAGAAACAAACAAATGCAGTTTCGCTCCCCCAACCGGGGGGCTCTTTCCTTCCTCCCCCCTTCCTCCTTTTCTTCCACAAACAGAAA